AAAAAAAAAAAATTAAAAAAAAAAAAAAAAAAAAAAAAAAGGACAATGGACAGGGCTGGCCTGTAGCCTAGTGGCAAAGGGAGCCATATTCCACATGGCTGACTTTGGTACCAATCCTGGAACCAGTAGCTCGAAAAATATAACAGGCCGGAAACTAGCAGTTAGCGTAATGGCTATGTCGCTGGACTCCCACGTAGTCGACTGCGGTTCGCCTCCCGGACCCAGTAGCTTAAAACTCACGCCAGGCACGCAGGGCTGGCCTGTAGCCTAGTGGCAAAGGGAGCCATATTCCACATGGCTGACTTTGGTACCAATCCTGGAACCAGTAGCTCGAAAAATATAACAGGCCGGAAACTAGCAGTTAGCGTAATGGCTATGTCGCTGGACTCCCACGTAGTCGACTGCGGTTCGCCTCCCGGACCCAGTAGCTTAAAACTCACGCCAGGCACGTGTGCGTACGTGCCCAAGATCCTGAGAGGAGAATGGAGGAGAAGGGATTGCAGTGTGACCATCCCCACTGGGGGGTGATTTCTCACTTTCTGTCTCTATGTCTCTCTCTGTCTGGTGAGCGCACGCGCCCTATAATGAAAAACCTCTCCAAAAAAACCCCCAAAAAACAAAAAAACAAAAAACAGGCACACATGTGTATGTGCCCCAAATCCTGCAGGATAAAGAAATGGAGAAGGGATTGTGGCCTGACCACATCCCATTGAAGGTATTCCCTCCCACCCCCCTAAAAAAACAAAACAAAACCCCAGGTGCACACAAGTTCTGGCAATTTAAAAAAAAAAAAAAAAAAAGATAATGGAAAGGATAGAAAGGGAGTTAGAAGAGAAGTGGAAAACCTGTTGTGAAACTGGCCCCATGGCCCAGGTGGAAGGTGGTCTGAACTAAGCTTCACTCTTAATTTTCTTTCCTTAGACCTTCTTCCTTTGTAAAGTACAGATGGGGGTTTAGTAGGAACTATTGGGCAAAAATGATCAGTAAACAATTATTCACAAGTACTTAAGTATAATGAGGACTTCCAACAATTCCTGCTTTGTGTAAAGGCTTGAAATATTTTCAAGACTGATGGTGTGGTATTTTCCACTCCTTTCTACCAACCAACCTACTTCCTCTAAACCTAAGGTTTCACTCTACCAGGAACTGCTCTGTGGCCTGCAACCCACTGAACCAATTAATGGCTTTCAAGCAGCTTCACCATAAACAATATTTGTTATCTACCAGGTTCTCGACAACTAGAATAGGTGGAGGTGGAAGATTCAATGACAGGTACAGGATTTTTGAAAGACCTGGTCTGTTGAAGATTAGTCAGGGATTTTTATTTTTTCTCTCCTTAGGGTCATAGGCTCTGTACTGCCCACAAAACTAAATTTCAGTGTAAGGGATTCTTATATACTGATTCTTACTAGCCTTAAATTCAGTTCCCTTATCTCAATGCTTTTAAGTTTCTCAGTAACTGTGAATATTGATGAAATAGCCTTCACTAGAACATGGTAACATAATTCAGCTGACAAGCTTAAAACCTCATCATTCAGAGGTTGTTAGCAATACATGAAAAAATGCTTATTGTTACTGCATTTTTAAAATAAAATTGCTATAAGCCACATTCATTCAACAAAGACACAGAGAAAGAGAGTGAGAAAGCACCTTCCAGGGAATAGCCATAACATAATCCCTTTTCCATTCTCTAAGGATTTTTGGCCATTTATGCACATACACAGATGTTTTTCAAGCCTTCAGGTCTGGGACTCAAACCATACATTCGGCCATGTGGGTTGTCTTAACCACCAGCTGGCTGTTACTGCTAGTTTCTTATAAATAGGTAAATATTTCATCTTTTTTCCTTCTTAAATTTTGCCAGAGGGCACAGACACTCCCCAGAGAGATGGTCAGGGCAGAAGAAAGCACTTACCAATGGGACATGATCAGCCTGCAATCTCTTCATTTCTCCATTCTGATGGGATTTTGAATACATAAGCACTTAACACCTGGTGTTTCTCCAGTGGCTGGGTCCAGGACTCAAACTGCTCAGTATGACATGCAGGATCCAACTCTCTTCACTATCAGGCCACTCAACTGGCCCTCATGTTGGTTTAAACCTACATGAGGGCTTCAAAAAGTGAAAAACGTGGAATTAAAGTATGAGCTTATTTTTGGGTAAAAATTAAAATCTGTGCACTGGTTTTCCATAATATGTATTTGTCATGAACATTCTGAAGATCTCTTGTAGGAGTAACATGAATCTTGATTACTTGACAACAGAGCAACAGTGGAACCTTCTAAGGCATCATTTGCTTAGTCAACAGAAAAAAAATCAGTTACACCCAGTTATATAATCAGTTCAGGAGTCTGGTAAACTATGCACTCCATTTTTGTCTTACAAAAATTAATTTTGTAATGAATGTACACAGATTTAATTAAGGTTGTATGTAAATTTAAACTGTCTTACCCCTCTCCAAAAATAATCCATTGTCCAATATAACATACCTTCTTACACTTTTTGTGGGGTGAAGACAGTAAAAAATGTTTTATCAATCTGAATTACTTAAATATGAGGAAAGAAGTTCTGTTTACCACGATCAGAATAGTTCTTATCCAGCTATAGAGTAAATCTTGAAAGAAACTCCAAACCTTTGCTGGGTATGCAACAGACTATCACTGGCTGACAACATTGCTTTTCCAATTGTCAGCGCCTTCAGGAAAACCACTTATCTAGGCCTCTACATTCTCTGCTAACACCTGTCTCCTCACCAAAGTTGGAGATCCCAATAAAAACCCCAGGAGTGGGGGGTGGGGGGGTTAGGGTGGTGGAAGGCAATGTTCATGGCCTAAACTCTTTCTCACGGTGGTAAGCTACCATTTTTATAGCTGGCTTAAGTTACAGCCCTTAGTAGGTGCCGAATCAAATCTGTCCTTACCCTTCATATAAAAGGGTCACTTTTGGAAAAAGGAAGTTTCTTTCGCCTTTCAAGTTTCCTAAGGCATCAAACAAGAATGACACAGGGCGGGAAACAGGGAAGACACTCTTCCCGCCGCGTCTCCTAGGATCCGGCAAGCCCAGCCCGCGGACCACAGCAGCAGTCACTGTGGGCGGGTGGGGCTGAGGCGCCAGCCCGGAAAGGCCCACGTGGCCGTCCCTCGCACCAGACAGTGTGCCTTCGCTCAAAGTCCAAGGGCGGCGGCAGGGCCCAGGGACCTTGGACCCGGCGAGCTCCTGCCCAAGCGGCGAAACTCACGACCGTGACCGCAGAGCCCTAGCCTCCACCCCCACCCTTTAGGCCACAACCACCAGCGCCCAAACAGACCACGGTGGCAGCAGCCAGGCGACAAGTAGAAAGCCAAGATGGCGACGTCCTGCCCTTCTATCGCGAGAGGACGGAAAGAAAGGACGTCGGGCGAGCAAAGATACGTAGCCAATAAGAGTGCGGAGTGCGCGTGATTGGCGGTATCGTGGCACTCCTACAGGCCACGCCCCGACTGCGGAGGCTTGGTCACCGCCCGCTGCTCCCCCTCTTCTTGTCCCTCCCCTCCCTCCCCTCCCTAGCTCTTCTCTTCCCGTCTGAGGTGGCGGCCTGCTTCACCCTCTCGTCAGCTCCATTTTACCTCGTTCTGTTTTTCCTCTTCCCTCAGGCCAAGCGCGGCCTAACCCCTCTCCGCCTCCTTAAGGTGGCCGCAGAGCCCCTGCGCCTTCTCCTTTCTCGGGTCCTCCCTCCACGCCCTGCCCCGCCATGAATGAGGAGTACGACGTGATTGTGCTAGGCACCGGCCTGACGGTGAGCGGCTGCGGCACGGGCTGTGGGCAGCCCCGGGGACTGAAGTGTGAGGCGGAGGACGGGGGCGTGAGCTGAGGGCCGGAGTGTGGGTCCCGGAAGGCGCTCGTTCGCCGGGTTCCCCCCCATACCTCGGCCGCCTCGCCCCCCGCTTGGGCCCGCGGTGCGAGGTGGACGCCCCCCAGTTCACAGTTAGGGCCCCACGGTGGAGATCAGGCGGCTGGCGGTCGCGGCTCCTCGGGGATTTTCTTCGTTGGCCTTGGTTTTCAGGGAGGGAGTCCGGGCGGAGGAGATGGGTGTGAGGTGCCTTGCGCCCTGGGTGGAGCGGCCGCCTGCAAGTGTGCAGAAGTCCAGGAAATGGAACCAAGGACGTGCGCCCGGGAAGCCGGTCAGGTGGGAGTAACGGCCGAATGAACAGTGGGTGAGAAAGGAGGGTTTCACCTTCTGCAGAAATGTAGGCAAAGCAAAAGAGCCTTCTTGGGCTGCCGCTTCTCCACCTCGTTTTTGGGTCGGTGACTTCTCCCGATTGGAAGCTGAGAAGCACAGGGGGAGGAGGCCGCTCGCGGTTGCTTTTCCTATTTAGCCTTCAGCAAGTGTTGTTAGTCAGTCTTGGGCTGCCAAAGCCAGGCCCAAGATTTCCCGACAAGATACTGGATAATCATTGCTTTAGAACTGCTAGATTTTCACTAACATAAATTTTGAAGAAAATGAGGAAATGCGTATTTTTACCTGCCCCCACTGCCCCACAAATAAGCAGCATGATCGACTTCTTTAAACCATTCTCATCCCACTTACTGAGCATGTTTAGAATTGGAAATGAGTTTTCTCAAAATTCGTCTGTCAGATGCTAGTTTTCAGACCCTTGCCGTCTTTTCCATTTGTTTGGTTTGTTCCTAGCCTCCATTGTCTCTTCTGGATGCTTTGCCCCTAGAAATGGGTTGGTGATGGATCACTACAAGCTAGGTTCTTTGTACTACTAAGCTCTCCTCAGGGAATTACAAGATAAATCAATAATAATTGAACGGATTCAGAATAAAGGAATACAAAGTGTACCTAGTACCATGGTATATTTATTTTCCTGGACATGTCAGCTTAAAGACCTTATTGATAATATTCTGCAAATAATACAGGCAGGTGTATCGTATACCTATTACTTTTTAAAAAGAAAATGACTCTTCATCTTGCAGAATGATTCAGTTTGGACAGAAGTATTTTGAGTATCAAAATTGTTTTGGAAATTTGTAATTTTAGACTTTGGGCTAATTCATAATAAGATGAACACTCATGTGAATTGTATCTCGTAAAGTCTGGCCTCAAATTCATGAATCAGTTAATGTAAACACCACCTCATATTCATTAAACTTTTATTTCTCTAATTTTTTAGGAAAGGGTTATTAAGAATTAGAATACAACTCTTTTTTATTTTTGTTTTTTTGGAGAGGTTTTTGCTATAGGGCGCGTGCGCTTGCCAGACAGACAGAGAGAGACATAGAGACAGAAAGCGAGAAATCACCCCCCCAGTGGGGATGGTCACGCCGCAATCCCTTCTCCTCCATTCTCCTCTTGGGATCTTGGGCATGCATGCACACGCACCAGGTGTGAGTTTTAAGCCACCGGGTCTGGGATGCAAACTGCAGTCGACTACGTGGGAGTCCAGCGTCATAGCCATTATGCTAACTGCTGATTCCCAGAATACAACTTTTTGAACTGTCATTTTTCTGTTTATAGTGAGTTCTGATTGTTGGAGAATACTCATGTCTAAATATTTTATTATTTTTTTAAAAGAATTATTTTAACTTTATTTTAATTTGACCAAAGAGGGACAGAGTGAGAGAGAGAGAGGGAAAGTGAGAAAGCAAGCTACCAGGTCCAGGACTTGAACTGCCGTTGGCCATGTGAGAATCCAGTGCACTTAACCACCATCCCACCTGCTGGCCCTCATTATGTTTTACTAGTTTAAAAACAGACATGTAACTGTCTAGAAAATAGTATCAAATAGATGTGAATACTTATCTACTATATACAGCCATCTAATAATTGTGAATATGAAGGATTTAATTGAATTTCTTTTTTTTTTTTTTTGGAGAGATTTTCACTGTAGGGCGCATGCGCTCGCCAGACAGACAGAGAGAGACATAGAGACAGAAAGTGAGAAATCACCCCCCAGGGGGGATGGTCACGCCGCAATCCCTTCTCCTCCATTCTCCTCTCCGGATCTTGGGCACGCACACACACACACGCCCGGCGTGAGTTTTAAGCCACCGGGTCCGGGACAAGAACCGTGGTCGACTACGTGGGAGTCCAGCAACATAGCCATTACGCTAACTGCTGGTTCCCTTGAATTTCTTTTTTGATGGTAAGTTTGGAGCTTTTGATGCCTAAAGGAATAGACCCACCCACTGCAGGCTATGTGTGTGTTTGGGTGCCTAATTGAACTTCCTAGCTAAGCTTAATAGTTTGTGGTGGGTTTTGCCCATGGGTACTGTTGCTGCCAGAATTTTCGAAGAGCCAGTTAGTTCTACTGTTTTCAGTAGTTATTGCTGGTCTTTCAGATTTGTTCATGATTAAAGACAGTTGAGCATGGACAAGTGAATACAAACCCATAGTCATGCAGGTTTCTATAAGCCTAGTTCAGAAACATCACATTGTATCAAATATCAAAGATAGTACAGTGTTACTTAAGAAAGTACACCTTATTTAAATTTTCGTTTGGATTGTGAACTTTTTGTTAAATGGTAGGTGCATACTTAAGTATACATCAGAACAGTATCTGCTTTCATTTTGAAACAGTGATAACTTTATTCCCTGTGAGTCCTTCCTAGATTGTTTTATGTGATATTCTTTGAGAATTACATCAATTTGGAGTTCTCACATTATCACTGTCATGTATAGTGAAGACAGGGTGATTTTGATAATGAGAAGTCCTTTTTTTAAAAAAAAAAAAAAAAAATTGCCAATGGGCACATGTACTGAGAGACAGGGAAAGCACCCTCCAGTGGAGCAGGGTCATGTTGCAGTCCCTTTTCTTCATTTCCTCATCCCATCAGGATTCGAGGCATGCACACATGCACTGTGTGTATTTTTCAAGTCTCTGGGACTAGAATTTGAACTGTGATGGGTGGTGAGAATCCAGGTTCCAATGTACAGTGCTTAACCCCACTGTACTATGAAGCTGGCCCACGCAATGAGAAATCTTATATTGTCATTTTTACTGTTACAAGAACTTAGATAACTGAAAGTTAAATAAAGATATCATCCAAGTTAAAAATTATCAAATTATAATTTAGCTTTTAGTATATGGAGTGAACATACCATTGAATTTTTAAATTTTTTTGTAAATATTTTTAGTGCCTGAGATTTAAGAATATAAAAAAGTCATTATGCTATCAGGTATTACATGATGCTTATGTGTCAAGTAATTTTAATGTCAGAAATTGTAACTTTTAAAGAAAGTGTAAAGAAGTGTTCAATTTTTCTATGTTTTTCAGTATTATCTTTCTTTTGTTATCATTTGAGTTTAAAATAAGCTAATATTAATGCACAAATATTGATAACAACTTTAATAAAGAAGACATACAATGATTTGGCATAAACTAGAGTAAATTTTTCATTCAGTAGCAGAAATGGAATATTCTGTATAATTGAAATTTTTAGGGAATTGAGTTATTCCTTTAAACTATAGGGTATCATATCGTGCCTTTTTTTTTTTTTTGGTTATAGGGTGGTTGCAACTCATTGGAGACAGATAGAGAGAAAGAGAAAGTGAGAAATCACCCCTGGGGGTGTGGGAGGTGGCCATGCTGTAACTCCTTCACCTCCATTTTTCTCATGGGATTTTGGCACACACACCTGGTGTGTTTTTCAAGGTGCCAGGTTTAGGACTTGAATTGCGTAGTTTTCATATGTGATCCAGCTCCTTAGCCACCTTGCCACCTGTTGGCCCCAATATCACACCTTCTTTAACACACTTAAGGAACATAACTAATTAACTTGATAAATAACATCTCACATCAGGAAGATGAGTATTTTGTTATGCTATAACACAATGAAGCTATTAAGACCTGTAAGCTTTGTAGAATCTTTTACCCTCTTTTTAAAAAAAAAAATTGCCAGGGAGTGCATGCCCTGACCAGAGAGAGGAAAAGTGAGAAAGCATCCCACTTAGGGGATTGCACACCACAATCTTTCTTTCTTCATCCTCCATCTTCCAGGATTTTGGACACATGCATGTGTGTTTTTTTTTTTTTTTAATTATTATTTTATTTGACTATATTTGCTTACATATTTATGTAAATTTGACCAGAGAGGGACAGAGAGAGAGAGAGAGAGAGAGGGAAAGTGAGAAGACAAGCCACCAGGTCCTGGACTCGAACTGTGGTTGGTCATGTGGGAATCCAGCGCCCTTAATCACCTCGCCACCTGCCAGCCCCCAGATCTGGGACTCGAACTTCACAGTCCCACCCCCCAACCCCTCCCCCACCCCCGGTCCCTTCCAGTTTCTTACTTTGCTGTTAGGTTGGCAACTTTTGCTTTTCTAGGTTTTCAGCTTCTGTGGGTAAGCTGTCCCCATATAATAATTTAGTATTGGCTTAGAAATAAATTTGCGAATCATGTTAGAAATGGTATATTTAAATATTAGGAGGTAGCTGGTGGCATGTTGGTTAAGGTGACTGGATCCTGCTTGGCTGACTGCTCAGTTTGAGTACTGTACCTGGCTTCTGAAAAACATGCGAGGCAGTGTGCATGTACATACCCAGAGTCCTGAGAAGGGATTGGAGCATGGCCATCTCCTCATGGGGATGCTTTCTCATACCACATCCTCTCCAGTGAGTACATGGGCCCTATAGCAAAATTTTTAGAAAAAGAAAAAAGTTAAAGTAATTAGTTATTTGTGCTTCTCAGAAATTTTATTTTCTGTTTTCTTGTATGCTACACAATAATCCTAGTAAAGGATTGAGAATATAAGGATACAGTTTAGTACTACTTAACCAGATTATTCTTAG